ATTCCTGAGGGTGACTTTGCATAAGGGCCTGACCTTACGAAAGTTGGATGAGCTTGGTGGATTGCTTGTTTGCTGACCCAGTTGAGACTGCATGGGACTAAACAGGAAGCTGGTGAAAAAAAAAAAATCCACTGTTGATGATTGTCCCAATGATTCATTACAGTGAGATTTGGAAGATTTTACCTTGAAAGGGGTCTAGGAAGTAATAGTCATACAGTTTGAGCTGTATGGGCTACTTTTATTTAGGAAGACCATGTCACAGAGGAGTTGAAGTTTGGAGTCAAAGGAAATCTGACCTGGACTCCTCAGATCTGTCATGTACTAGCTAGTTGACCTTTGCTTATTATTTTTTTAAATTCTGTCTAAAATGGGGATCATAATTACAGTGCATTTTCTTTATAGGGTTGGGAGGCTTTCTGAGGGTGTGCCCAGAAAGTTGGATTTTATTGTTATTTTTCTGTCAGGTTACTCATTATCTAGCACATAGAGGTGTGCTGTAGAAAGAGTGACAGTGTCTACACACATCCACAGAACTTCTCGGACTTTGGGTTGTACCTGTTTCTATGGAGGGACAGCCCTTGAGAGCTAAGACTTTTCTAAAGGGCTCCCTCACCAACATGTGTTAGAGCAACTTGCCTCCTTCTCAAAGTAGCACAGTCCTAAGAAGGAAGTCTGGGTATCTAGTTCTTAGCTCAGAAGACAAAAACTTACCTGTTGGTTCTAGCAGCTAGTGCTCGGGATCCACTCAGAATCAAAGTGGAGCTACTTGTCAGCATTTTCTTTCAAGTCGTGTATAGTAACTGAAATAGAGGACTAAATTAATTCCTTTAGGTGTAGAACTCAACACTCTGCCTCTGAGTTGTACCCCAGCCCTGGTAATTCTCCAAGTTTAGACAATACCTTTGTATAACTAGAAGCATATTCAAGATAGAACGTTTTCATCAACCCAAAACCTTCTCACCCCTAACTTCTCATAGCAATATAGTCTGCCATGTCTTTTTCACTTTGGAAAGTTTAAAAAAGCCCACTTACTGTAACCCTTGACATTTATGGAAAGCATGAGTTGTTGAACTCCTCACAGACTCTGGCTTTAGTCACTGAGCCTGGCTCCCTTCTCTTATTACTTGTTCAGGAAAAATCTGTTGAGCCCATGGCTGGTGCCAGCCATGAGCCTGGACCGTGATAGAGTACAGAAAGTGTTGACAGTAGTTCCCAGCTCTCAGGAGATACTGTGCACACAAGTAAAGGGTTCAATAAAGATACACAGAGTTAACTACCAACCCAGGCAGAAAAATCAAGATGGGCTGCAAGGTCTTACAGTTTGGGCTGAGCTCCAACAGTGAGCTCCAGGGAGATCAGGTGAATCTGTGCATGCAGCTCAGGGAAGGCTCTAGAAAAAAAAAAAAAATAGGGCCACCTGAGAGTACTCACAGCTTAGCTTCCATCCCCTCTAGTCCTGTCCTGTTGAACCCTTTGGGTGTGGGGGTGGGACAAAAAAAATAACAAACTTCTCTTCCTTGACTTTGATCTCTGTTTGGGTTTATCACTTCCTTTTTCCCTTTCAGTCTTTCTCTGCCTTCTACTCTTCCTTAGCAATATGCCAGCTTGCTGTCCTCTAGACTTCTTACAAATCTGTTCCTCATCTCCACTGCATCCTCTCTGCCCCCTCCAGTGCCAGACAGCAGTGTCTGTGACAGGCAGGTGCTCCACCAGTCTGGTTGGTTGAGTAACTAAACTGGGCATTGTGAAGAAAAGAACAGAGAGAAAGAACTCCTGGGTAGAACAAAGAGACAGATGCAAAAGATACCTGAGCTGTGCCATTGTTTACAGTCCTAGCCAGCTTCCTGTTGCTGCTAGGAATGGGAGCACAAAGGGGAAAGGAGCTTTGGAGCATTGAAATCAAAGAGGCTTTGATTGAAGTAAAGTTATGGTAGGACCCTATTTCCATTGTGCCTTCTGCTTCCTGCACACACACACACACACACACACACGCACACGCACACGCACACGCACAACACACACCTGCTTGGTTTTTACCATCACACAACTACTTTGTATGGCCTTGAGTAGGATGAGACTTTATTTCCCTCCCATTTTCTCTGTCCCTCTTTCATTTGCTTTGCTTGGGGAAGGAGGCAGAGGAAGCCACAGAGAATGCATTGTCAGCACCCGTGTCTAGTGAACAGCTGATGTCCTCACACTCAAAATGGCCTGCTCTGGAGTGTGAAATGACACATTAGGTCTCCGTCTCCGTGTGTGGCTTTTCTTCCTTCCTTCCTTCCTTCCTTCCTTCCTTCCTTCCTTCCTTCCTTCCTTCCTTCCTTTCTTTCTTTTTATGCTGCCAGGAAAAACCCAAATTGTATCCAGATTCCCTCCCTTTCTGTGTGCCGTGGCTTTTATTGAATTTTTATCACTCCATGCTCCCCTTCCTTACCTCCCTTTATTATAGATCCTATGAATTCTTACCACCTCTAAAGCTTTCCCTGAGTAGAAACCAGGTAATAGCGCCTCACTATACTCCTAAAGCAATTAAAACAGAAACTTACTTAAAAATAAGTCAACCTAGGGCCGGAGCGATGTCCTTCCAGAGGTCCTCAGTTTAATTCTCAGCACCCTTTCTGGAAAGCTCACAACTCAGCTCCAGGGGATCTGGTGCTTTCTTCTGGCCTTTGAAGGCACACAGGTACCACATGTGCCACAGACACACACATACATATACTCATCTCTCTCATACACACACATACGCATACATGTGCATACACACATGCGTATGCATGCACCCACGCGCACACACGTGCATATATATTCTCACTTGTTTGCATATGTGCCTGTGACTGGCCAGAGACTCCCTCTATTGACCCAACTGGCCTAGAACTCAGATATCTCCATGTGTCTGCCTCTCAAAGTGCTGGGATTAAAAGTATGCACCACCATGCCCAGAGATATAAATATGTAAAAGAGATGGCTTGATGGTTAAAACTTTGTCCTGCTCTTGCAGAGAACCTGAGTTCAGTTCCCAGGACTCCTGTTGTACAACTGAGAACTGCTTGTAACTCAAGCTCCAAGGGAATCCAAAGCCTGTGGCCTCTGAGGGCACTTACACTCACGTGCAGGCACACACACTTCATAATAAAATAAATCTTGAAAAGTGTGCTCAAACTTATAATTTTTCAGCCAGAGAGGAACTTTGAGCGACTGACACCAGAGCTGTTGACAGTAGATAACTTTCAGAGAGACTGGAACATGGCCTCTTCTGGCAAAAACTGAACATTTTTGCCTTTGCAGAAGTATGGGAAGGGGAGAGGAACAGAGGGCTGTGCAGAACCACACTGTGAGCTTGTAGATAAGTGGCTCTGCCTCTCTGTATCCCTTTGTCTGTATCAGGCTCCTGGTGCTTTCACTCTGAAATGTTAAAGTAACCTCCGTGCGCATAAGTACAATGTCCATCGGGATAGCCTTGTGCTTTGAGGACCTCAGGGAAGGGTGTTTGCACACCTCTTTCTTCCCTTTTATTAATTGGAGCCAATTTTCAAGGACATTTAATGCAATTAACTGCTGACAACAGTGTACAGTCAATTCCATTCGAAATTAAAACATAGCATCAGAGACACTGAAATTAGAAACATAGTGGATCACCATGGTTTACCCAGAAGAATGGTTAAAATTAAAAAAAAAAAAAAAATGGTAGCAACACCAAATGCTGGCAAGGATGCAGAGAAATTAGATCACTCTGACACTGCTGATGAGAATGTAAAATATGCACTCGCCCCAGGAAACAGTTTGGCTGGTTCTTGGGAGCTAAACGTGGAATTTCTGTATGAGCCAGCAATTACACTCTTGGATGTTTATCCCAGAGAAATGGAAACATGTTTGTGGAAAACTTGAACACAAATGTTCACCAGCAACCTTGTCTGCACTAGGCAAAGACTGGTATCAATGCAAACATCCTTCAATGGATGGATAGTTAAACAGATGGAATATGTTCTCCAACAGTTTGCAGAAGTTAAACAGCAATAGGGAGCCGGCTAGGGGTACACACAGCTTGATGGCTTGCTGGGGATTTATGGTAAGTGGAAAGAACAACCTCATGGATTGCAGTATGAAACTAATTTATTATTGTCCCCAAATGTATGTAATTTTAGGGTGACCACTTGGTATTAGATGACCAGATAGAGGATAAGAGGATAAGACTCTCCCTCTCTTGAAAAGACTGCTTCTCCCTCTGGCCCATAGTGTCTTATTGCCCTCTCTTCTCTGTTGTCCCTTGAGCCTAAGTGAAGGGGTTGTATTGCCGATGTATCAGTTGAGCCTGAGTACCCCACAATCACTTGTCCTCTTCACCAAAATAAAGATTTTAATTTAAAGCATGGGAGCAGTTTCAGAGTCTTTAGATCTGCCATACTAGTGTTTGGGCAGTTAATGTGCTTAACATTTGCTAGAATCAGGGACCACTTCATTGTTCTGATATTTTGGACAGCTTGTCACATTCAAATCCTGAAAGGTATGAGAAGAACTCTGCTTTCCATTCAGTCGGAAAAGGCAGAGTGGATGGCTTTTTGTGTCTTTTCCTTCCTGTGAAGGTTTGACAATGTCTGTCTGGACCACAGAATCCTGAAAAATAAGCACAGCGCCTTCTTGCAGAGCAAGAGCAGAGAACAGATTTAGAGGATTAGATATCTGGCCTGAGATTTGGTTAATATGAAGCCTGAGGTCTTGGCCGTGATCAGGTTGAGTGTGATACTCAGAACCTTGTCACCAGGGTGTACCATTAGCAGGCACGTGGGGGACACATCTGGGCCAACTCCTTACAGGCTACTTTTCTGAGATGTTAACTCAGAACTCAAGTTTGGTTTTCAGCTTCCTGGCAGGAGATGGGGTGTGGGGATCTGAACTCTAGTTGGCAGCCTGCTTGAGCTGAGGATGGTTTTCTGTTTGAGAGTGTGTGCTATAATCATGAAGTCACAAGACTTTGAGGCATGATAGTCTCCTGTCCTTTGAAGTTGTAGGACAGTCCCATCTGGACAGCAACATTGAAGATCAAGAGATTGTCACTAATCCGCCAGACATTTGCCAAGTTGTGGAAGTGACCACGGAGAGTGATGACCAGCCAGTCAGCATGAGTGAGCTCTACCCTCTACAGATTTCTCCTGTGTCTTCCTACGCAGGTAAGGGGAACAGGACGGTGACTGAGACTGAGTAGGGAACAGACCACCAAGTCTAGCACCACCCTGGTTTACCACACCACAGGGAATCTCTATTCTGTACTAGAAATTATTATTGTAGAACTTTCTTACTCTTATGTTCTTGACAACATCTTGGACACCTCTGTTAGAAGATGTATTCATGTTAGTCCTCTAATTGACTGCCCATGACATGGTTCATTTGGGTCTACAGATAACATTTCTTGGGATAAATGCTTCATGGTCATCATAAATATGCAAGAAATGATACAGTTATTAAGAACTGGCGAAGACTGAAAAGCACTGGCACATAGGAGTTCAAATTCGCTTGTAATGTATTTGCCTCAGTTAACAGATTTGGGGGTAGAGTGGCTTGATGGAATCTAGATTTTATTAAGGTAGATGGGACTTCAGAAATCATCTTTTCTAGATTCTCTGTTTGTGGAAGTGAAATCATTTTCTCAAGGTCACTTGGCCAATAGTTGCCAGCCTTCAGCTTCGAGGTCATTGCTAGCTCTAATTCATTCCTCTAGCTTTATTTGGTAACTCCATATATTTCCTCCCTCCCCCTCCTCTCTTCTCTCTCTCCCTCCTCCTTCCTCCCCTCTTCTTTCCCTTCCTCCCCTCCCTTCCCCTTGCCTCTTCCTTCCCCCTTCCCCTCATTCCCCCTCCTCCTTCTCTCTCCCACCTCTCCCTCCCTTCCTCCCTCCCCCTCCCCCTTTGTTTCCCTCCCTCCTCCTCCCTCCCTCCCTTCTTCCTCCCTCCCTCCCCCTCCTCTCCATCCCTACCTTCCTTGTTATATAGTGCTGCTTCTAGCTGAACTGGGCCACCAGCCCTTTTCTACTTCTCCTGGGGACTAGTCCTATCATTGCAGAAATTAGTTCAGGCAGAGTTACAGGATTAGACACAGACTGATTAAATGACTGCTCCTTTTGTCACCAGAATTTCATCATCTAGCACTCCCTTCCTGACCATCTCCATTTAAGATTTTGGGACTCAGTCACAATCGGGAAATCTTAATTCTGAGTCAGTGTTACCGCTTACAGATATTAAAAATAAAAAGCAGAGGCCCAGGCATGGGAAAGGCCAGTGAGCTCTAGCAATGGATCGTTTTTCCCCCCCGGACCTTTTTGCATACTTTGGGAGCCACACAGGGTTAGCATACTTGTTTGTAAATTATCAGCAGATAAGTTACCTCTTATTCCCATACTGCCAGCTTAAAATTTATCCTTTAGTGGTGGTAAAATGCATCTAACACAAATTTGCCATTTGGTAAGTATCTGGTTGAATGGCTTTGAGTTTGTTCATAGTAATGTGCAACCTGCTCTGCCACCTGTCTACAGAAGTTTTACATCTTCTAAAACTAAAATGATGCACCCATCACATCTCTAACCAAATCTTGAGAACTATGCCAATTTTCTGTCTACTCAGTGGGCTCTTGTGAGTGGAATCTTGAAGTCTTTACCCTTTTGGGACTGGCTTATTTTACTTGGAATACATCATGACTTGCTTTTGTGTTAGGAGCATAAAGAGAATATGAGAATGAGCCTCAGTGACAGTAATCCTACAATCTGTCAAACAACTTGCCATCAGTCACTCATTCATCAGACATAGTTTGAACTCTTACATGTGTCCATTCTTTTTGGTCTTTGCCAATAACTATATTATTTGTTGTATGTTTATTGTTCTTTGGGGATTATTCTAACTGCTTATAGGAATTTGTATTGATTGACTTGCTTAATTACCAAGGAAATAAATGTTATTCTCTCCTCTTCAAAAAAAAAAAAATGATTCTAAAGCTAATGTGAGTCTAGGAAGGAAAAACTAGTGGCAGATAAATCCATGTGTAGGTGATGTTCTTAGACACTCATTCAGGTGCTACACAGGGCCACAAGCTATAGTCTCATTTGATTGTCAGAGGACCCTCAACCAGAGGAGGTAGACCAAAATCTTCATGTAGAACCAACGGAAATGTTAAGGTCTCAGGTATTTCCCCTCTATTTGTGGAGCCGAGGCTAAAGTCCGTGGCTTTCTTCTAAGTCACCAGGCTGCTGCAGTTATTAACCAGTGTAGGGCTTAAGGGGCGGAGCCTTAAAGTAGACCGGTTTACCTGTTGGAGGCTCTCTTGGGGATTTTGGAAAGACCTTCTTGCTTTTCTGTCAGCCTTGGCATTTTGCCTTAGCAGAGGCATCCTGAGAACAGATGATGTGAAGAGAAAAGCGAATAATTCATTTCCCGCTCTGGGACATTTGCAAAGATTTCAAAGGAAGGCTTTCAGCTCCAGGGTGGTGTACCAAGAGCATGAATTTATGTGAGAGCCTAGCTTTTAAGCCGGGTATTTGGTTAATTCCATTGTTTTCATTGTCAGAATTTTCCAGAATCTTGTAGAGGGAGGTTCATTGGATGGAGTCAAAATGTTTCACTGCTGGTCCCTTTGTAGACTTGAAGATGGGTCACAAAGTCCTGTTACTGACCATGGCTCGTTCAAGTCTTCCAGTCAGGAAGCTGATAACAATTCTGTAGCTCTCTGCTCCCACCTTTTAAATTTATGTTTGTCAGCAGCATAGGCTGTTGACTTGTTTTTGATGATAAGAGTTCCTTGGTACAAACTGTTCATCCAAACATCAACCACCTTCATTCATTCACCTGTCTGGGAAACTACTCTTTAGAGGCTGATGTTGAACATCCTTTCCCTGTAAGACTCACTGACATATCATCTTAGGAGCATCACATAGCCACATTCAGCTTTGCAGCTCTGTCTTCTAAGGTATTAGAAAGCTGTCAGGGTAAGGAGTCGAGACAGTGTCTTTGGGTGGAAAGAGGTATTTGCATTGGATAGTTTAAGCTGATAGAAAATTTCACTTTGTTTATAAAATTTTCAGAGTGCCCAAGTATGTTTCAAAGGCCGAGCTAAGGAAGCACTTAGGCACAGTCAATTTTGTGTTGTTTACTTTGTTATTTTTTTTTGCAGTGCTGAAGAGCCAATCCAAGGCTTCCGGCATGATAAAACAAGCCCCCCACCACTGGCCTGTATCCCCTTAGCCCTTACTGTATTTTGATGTGGCTGTACATCATGTCTTCCTAGGATTTAACTAGGGGATTTAGTAAAAGAAAACCATGATGATAAATTCAGAAGAAAGGAGGTGGAAAAGCAGGTTATGTAAGATGCAAAATAAGAGTCAGTTAGCTTTATGATCAAGAGAATAGAGGTTGCACGGACAGGCAGCCATCATTTTCCCAGAAACCATTTGTGTGTTATGAATGCATCAGCATGGAGACCAAGATTCATAGTTGAGCTGCTGAGTGATCAGTTGCATCTTCTAGTGAATGGAATTGAGGAAATTATGTGGAAAGAAATCAATGCTAATCATATTTTGTTGAATGAGAGCCTTCCAGAAGATATATTAAATATCACATAATACAATAATATGTTCCATAAAATATATCATCTCTTTCCCTGTGATCTTCTCGAGGTGGTTTGGCAATATACATCCTCCAGGCAGATGTGAAAAACTGGGCTGGAGTGGCACAATTCTAGAACTGCCTCTCTGGGAGAGCCCCTAATGTCCAAATTACATTCTTCCCTCTTAGCTGCTGGTAGGGAAACAGGCCAGAAAGGTTAAATCAATTATTCATGTATCTGCTACTACTATGTAAATATTTCAGCTTATTCTGACCAGGCTTGCAAAGCAACTTCAATCTTTTTTTTTTTTTTTTTTTTTTAACCCCATTGTATTGGAAGTCAGTTTGAAAAGTATCCAAACTAATAAAAGGGGGAAGTGACATAATCCACATTGACATTTTGGCAGCCACATTGATCTGGAAACCACAGCTGCAGTGAACTCATTTGTCATGTAAGAAGTCATTCTGGAAACAGCTATGGTGGAGTAAAACCAAGAGAACAGGAATGAGGACTTGGAGCCAACTATTGAGTGATGGTTATAAAAACCATCATTCATCTGAAAGCAAACTTTGGGATCCTTAGATGGGAGCCCCAGGTACCTGCATCTCCTAGGCTGAAGGCTCTCAAGGCCGCTTTCTCTAAAAGAATCAGAACTACAAACCAGTGTGTTAGTACATGTCACATTGCTTTAAACACACAAGGTAATCAGTTCTAAAAGAGCAAAAGGCATGGTGGCCCACAGTTTCAGAGATCTCAATTCATAGCTGCCTGGACCCATTGCTTTGGGCCAAGTGATGGAACAGAATGAAGTGGCCAGAGGCGCTTGGTGGAGCAAAGCTGCTCAGATCATGACTGTGAAAAAGGGAAAGAAAGAAGCTGGGGATCCCCATATCCCCTGCACCTCACCTCCTAAAGTTCCCAACCCATCCCAACATCACTGTCATCTGGGACCAGGTCTTCAGCTTTTGAACCTTTGGGAGACAGTTAAGATCCAAATTCTTATATCCACTTCCTGAAGTGGAGAGATGCCGTAAGTACATCAGGGAGAGTTGATCTTAATTAGAAATGATTCTCTCCAACTCGCACAGTGTATTGTGCCATTACTTAGCCACAACTTTATTCCTCTAGTTGAATGCTGGGTACTTACAGGAAATTAACGTTCTTATCCCCTACCAAGTCTGTTCAAAGTCTTACCAAGGAGTTTAGCCTGGCATCTAACTTCCAAGCCCTCCAACAGCTGTGGCTTGAGCTTGTGGGATCCTAGGATCTTGATGTCAACTGCTCCTTTCTCTGAATCTTCTGCCTTCCAAAGCATGCCTGGTGTCTTTGTGCGCTTGCTTTTATTTGAAGGGAAAAGGCACTGGAAGATTTATGGAGAGTCATTAGGAGGAGAGGAGGCTTGATGCATGTGGAAGGAAGAGAAACTTTGGCTTCAGAGCACAAACAAAGCTAAGCATGAAAATAGAAAGGGGATCTTGAAGTTTTGCCAGCAGGAAGGCAGTCTCTGCGCTCTGTTTACGACTCTGTGATCCGAAGTACAGTTTTGTTTTCTTTCCTCTGCTGACTCAGTCCACGACTTGGCAAGTTTCTCAACATCTCCGTTCCTCATTTTTCTTCTGGGAGTAGCAGTCCAGCCTCCTATGGAGGCTAGCCTCATGTGGCTTTTGTGTTTGGAGGGACATTTCCTTTTCTGGTCTTCATTTACTTGTGCCTAAAAGCGTTTCTTGTGCCTTTTGGCAGATTGTCTCCATAGCTCAGACAATTGTCAGCTAAGACCTAGGCTTCCTCATGGCATCTGTGGCCCCTATATGGGAATATGTGGGGCACACCATTCTGAGTTGGCAATCTCCCAGGCCTGTCTGAATGTCTGAAGTCCCTGGAGAACAATGGCTGAGAATCATACAAAAAGCATTCCTGGGTGAGACTTGTCGCTCTCACATGCTTGCTGTCTGTTTAAGGAATGCACTGGGGGTACAGTTTGTCCATTTGTTCTTTAACTTGATATATGCGGGAAGACTGGTCTCTGGCCAGGGCTCTGAATGGTGGAAAGGACTCTGGCTGGCCTGGAGCCATTGGAGCTTATTCTGCTATCAGGTAGGCATGTAACTGGATGCTAATCTCCCTCAGTAGTGGCAGGGTGGAAGAGGGTAGAAAGGTCTAGATAACTTATTGCCAGATGATAGCAGCTGCTTTCCGACTTAGGATTGTTGTAAAGGATGAACAAGACTGGTATACAAAGGCCCTAGCTGAGCCTTGCTATGGTTCTCTAAATGTCCAGCTCTTGTCATTAAAATTCACGGACCCGGACAAAATGATCTGCAAGAGTCTGTGTATTTTAGATGTTCTATCCTGTATGCATTAATTTTTGCAGTGTCTATGAACAGGGGGAAGAAAAAGCTGTTGCATGTCATTTTTTAATTAGTAAAACTTAACATATAGATAATAAATAATCATGTTAGTGAATTTGACTGCCGAATCCAGCACAATGTGCAAACTCGGTATTGAATACCGAGGGCACTGCAGACACTGTGTCAGCTCTGTGCTTTCTAGACACCCAACACTCTCTCAGTTACTCTTCATGTAATCTGCTTTGGAAAGTGGCAGGTAACTGTAGCTCACTGTGCTTAAGAACTGTTTTCTGTGTCTCACAACTGGCAGGTCCAATCATGTTTATAATAGATTATCTATTGCCCTATAGCAGTGTGAGCATAAGCATAATGACTTAACACAATACACAGTTAACTATCTCACAGTCTTTGTGGGGTGGGAGTGCAGGTATGGCTTAGCTGGACTGTTTGCAGCGGAGACTTGCTAACCTGTCATCAAGTGTTGGCTAGTGCTGCTGCAGCTCATCCGAGAGTCAACTGTTGAGCCACTGGCTCACATGGCATTGAGCAGAATTGAGTTCCTTGAAAGTGTTGAACGGAGATCCCCAGTTTCTTGCTAGCCTTTACCTGGAAGCAGCCCTTAGCTTAAATTTGCTACGTGGGCCTCCCTCACACAGCCAGCAAACAAAAGACAGGTTAAATCTTACAAGATGACATGACATGCTGTGTTAGATGGCTAAAAGCAAGTTCCTACCCACAGTCAAGAGGACAGGTCCTAAGATGGTAAAGATGGAATGAAGGACTTGGGGTATCTAGGAGATGGCCACCTGCTAAAACTCCAGTAGAGGCTGGATCTCTATGCATCCAAGGGGAGGATACTAATAATAGGAAGAGGCAAGGAGACAGTCAGGAAGACTTCTTGGAAATTTTCACTGTGTCGGGACTTCCTGTGACTACTGGGGTGGACTAGAAGAAGACAGTGCGTGGCATTGTGGACAGAGCTTCAAGGAGGAGAAGGTGTCTCAGGGATTGTGTGGAACCCCAGGAGGCAGCCATTGGGAACACAGCCTGGAAAGTGAGCCTCTCCTTTCAGTTCCGAAGCCCACTGTGATGCTCTTAGGGGACCAAGCAAAAAACTGAAATCCACTCTGGCTTGTTCCACTTGAAAGTGTTTGACTTCACAAAGTGGAGGGAGAGGGTGTGTGTAGATTCTTATGTCTGTGCTGGCTTGGGTTTTTAAGATACTTCCTGAGTCTCTGAAATAGCTTGAGCAAAAAGAATATTTCTGTTTTTCTTTCTATACAGAAAGCGAAACTACCGACAGTGTGCCTAGTGATGAGGAGAGTGCTGAGGTGAGCCGCTTCCTATTGCCTCTTGTTTTAAAGCATGGGGTTTACTTTTGGATCTGTGTGTGTGAGTGTGTGTGTGGTATGTGAATGTGTGTGAGAGTATATGTGTGTATGTGGAATGTGTGTGTGATTGTGTGTGTGTGTGTGTGTGTGTGTGTGTGTGTGTGAGGGTTACAGACACAAGACATAGAATGCACATAACCTAAAATTTACCTTAGCTTTTCATTCTGAATTGTAAAATTTAGTGCTGAGCACTGGTTGGGAGGAAGAGAAGTAAAATGTGCCCCTCAGAAAGAGAGGTGAATATAGCATGGCAGGAAAAGAAAACTGAAGTCAAGGCCAGGAAATGTTGATATTCTTAAGGCTGTAAACATCCTGGTTTGCCAGCTGGAGTAGAATGGCCTGCCCAACCCAAAGCAGTGGACAGAAGTAAGCATCAAGAACAGCTAGCAAAGTTATCTCTTCACAGATCAGTCCCCTCCTTCAGTGGTCCTGCAGAGGCGGGTGTGTGTCCAGTCTCGGCTCTCTGGCAGCCTGCTTCCAGCTTCCCTCTGTAGGCTAGGCTCACACAATGGCAGGAATGGCTGTGATGCTTATGGGTAGAAAAAGGGATTGGAGAAGAAGCTGCTGTTTGGTTGAATTCCTAATATTCCAAGGTCAGGAATTCTGAGAAGTCGGTAGGCATTCATGCTGGCATATTTGATGATCTGGCTTCTTCGAGGACTTTAACCCCTTTTCTTCCTGGCAACTGTGAGGCCAGTTGTGGTTCAGAAAATGTGGATCTCAGCTGCCATTCATTCAAAAAGCAATCAAAGGGCATTTGCTGACTTCCTAAGCTCTGTATTCTCTTCCTCTGAAAATTCAGGGTACCTGATTAGGTTGGGCCATCCATTGTGGCTAGAAACTATCCAGTGCACAGCCCAGGCAGCCTGGGCTTAGGAACAGGAAGCCAAGTTGCTACCTTATTTTGTGTCTTTGCAGAATAGTCTTGACCAAGTTTCTGGGAGATAGCGAGTGGGAACTGATTTGAAACGTAAGAGAAGCCATTGCTTTGAATATGGTATTCAGTGGAAGAAAAAGAACGTATACATGTTGATTATTTTCTCTGAAAGGGGAGACCACACTGGCGGAAGAGGAACATTGAAGGCAAGCAGTATCTTAGCAACATGGGGACCCGGAGCACCTACCTGCTGCCCAGCATGGCAACCTTTGTCACTTCCAACAAGCCAGATCTGCAGGTCACCATCAAAGAGGAGAGCTGTCCAATGCCTTACAACAGCTCCTGGCCCCCATTTACAGACCTTTCCCTCCCTGCTCCAGTGACCCCCACGCCCAGCAGCAGTCGGCCCGACCGGGAGACCAGGGCCAGTGTCATCAAGAAGACATCTGACATCACCCAGGCGCGTGTCAAGAGCTGCTAAGCCTTTGACTCTTTCTGGTGGTGGTTGTGATTTCTTAGCGTTGTGTTGTTATTTGTTTGTATTTTATTTTCCTCTCTGATCCCTATCTTAGACAAATCGAAGGGAAAAAGCCTTGACAATAGAATATTGATTGCTGTGTCCAACTCCAGGGCTGGAGCTTCTTTTTAACTCAGGACTCCAGCCCCTTGGTAGATGCATATCTCTAGAACCTGCTGGATCTCCCAGAGCTACTCCCTCAAGTTCATGGACCAACAGCCACCCGGGCAGTGGAGGTGCTGCGTTGCCTACAGTCAAGGCCAGCATGGTGGAGTGGATGCCTCAGAATGGACGAGAAAATGTGAACTAGCTGGAATTTTTTATTCTTGTGAATATGTACATAGGGCAGTACTAGCAATGTTGCAGTCTGCTTCTGCACCTTATCTTGAAGCACTTACAATAGCCTTCTTGTGATCTTGCTATTCTTCACAGCACATTCGAGTCCCCTCCCATTACCTCACTACCCACCCCTCCCCAACCCATCCAATCCCAGCTCCCTACTGACCCCTCCCCAACCCATCCAATCCCAGCTCCCTACTGACCCCTCCCCAACCCATCCAATCCCAGCTCCCTACTGACCCCTCCCCAACCCATCCAATCCCAGCTCCCTACTGACCCCTCCCCAACCCATCCAATCCCAGCTCCCTACTGACCCCTCCCAACCCATCCAATCCCAGCTCCCTACTGACCCCTCCCCAACCCATCCAATCCCAGATCCTTCCCCACCCCTCCCCAACCCATCCAATCCCAGCTCCCTACTGACCCCTCCCCAACCCATCCAATCCCAGCTCCCTACTGACCCCTCCCCAACCCATCCAATCCCAGCTCCCTACTGACTCCTCCCCAACCCATCCAATCCCAGCTCCCTACTGACCCCTCCCAACCCATCCAATCCCAGCTCCCTACTGACCCCTCCCCAACCCATCCAATCCCAGCTCCCTACTGACCCCTTCCCAATCCATCCACTCCCAGATCCTTCCCCACCCCTCCCCAACCCATCCAATCCCAGCTCCCTACTGACCCCTCCCCAACCCATCCAATCCCAGCTCCCTACTGACCCCTCCCCAACCCATCCAATCCCAGCTCCCTACTGACTCCTCCCCAACCCATCCAATCCCAGCTCCCTACTGACCCCTCCCCAACCCATCCACTCCTAGCTCCCTACTGACCCCTCCCCAACCCATCCAATCCCAGTCCCCCTTCCCTCCCCCCCCCCAGTTCCTTTTCCCCTTTCTCTCCTCAAAGGCAATGTTCCACATCTTGGAGGAGGAGGAGGAGGAGAAGAAAATTAATTTCTCCACAGCTGTCCCACTTTAAGACTGCTTGAAAAAAAAAATCTTTCTAATCTGCTATGCTTGAATGCCACGCGGTACAAAGGAAAACTGTCATGGAAATATTATGCAAATTCCCAGATTTGAAGACAAAAATACTCTAATTCTAACCAGAGCAAGCTTTTTTATTTTTTATACAGGGGAATATTTTATTCAAGGTAAAATTCTAAATAAAATATAATTGTTTTTTATCTTTTCTACAGCAAATTTATAATTTTAAGATTCCTTTTCTTGTTTATCAGCAGTTGTTATTACACCCTTGTGGCACATTTTTTTTTTTTTTAATTTTGTAAAGGTGAAAAAAAAAACTTTTATGAGCTCATGTAGCAATCAAATTATCCTGTGGATTGATAATAAATGAATATGGTATATAGTTAAAATTTTTAATGGGTATCACTCCTGGCTTTATCTGTGTCTATTTGCATAATTGTGGGCCAGGGCTGACAAAGTGTTTGTTCTTGGAGACAGACATGGTTTCCTTTGCCGGTCACAAAAAAAACCAAACAAACAACAACAACAAAAAAAAAAAACAAAAACAAAACTCAGGAGGTTCCTATGGGTGAGTCTGTGAATACTTTCCTCTTTCAAATGTCCACTGCACTGGGCCCTGGGCGGAATGTCCTACACCAGTTTCCATCTTTGCTCATCACAGTTGTGCCCAGAAATTGCGTTCATCATGATTCCATATGGTAAAAATGGAAACCTGAAATGAGACCCTCTACTCAGGTTACCCAGGCAGCACAAGGCCAGGGTGCTGGTGCAGCCCAAGTCTGGAGGGTTTCCGGGGGAAGTCTGTCTCCTCTTCCACAGATCTCTGTTATGAGTAGATTCCTCTCATCTCAGTCTGTTTTCTGTCCTCATCCAACTCATGTTTGTGTTGTGTTAAATATCTGGGCACAGATAAAACACTTTGAGTAGGAAGAAATAGTTGTTGGATTCTACTTTTCTGTTTAATATAGCTTCTAAGACTTGGGCTCTTTCAATGAAGGCCCTGCTCTTAAAGTGTACAACTTTGAGAAAACTGGTATCTATCATCTAGTTGGAATTTTGTTTTCTTCCCTTTTGAATTATACTTATTGCCTTCACATACACACCTTGGTGTTTCAAGGTACAGCCCTGACCTTGAGAAGGTCACCTCCTTTACCTCCCAAGCTTCCTCAGAATACTAAAACTTAGCTCCCTTCCTGCCACCTTTGAGGGTTGTGAAAAGATCACTAAGTTAATGTTTGAAAGGTCCTTTCAATTTATGAAAGGACAAAGGGCTCTTTTAATGTCTATCTCTATGTGTGGCTGCAGATATAGCCAGTGACCATAAAATGATCGTCCCTGAACACAAATCAATGGAAGCTCATTACTGTTTGGTGAGTTTGAAACGCCTCACACAGGTGGCCAGTTGTTTTCTTTTCAGAACTCTTTTGCAGAGAGTGTTTGATTCCTTAGGACAAGTTGTAAGGTCCTCAGTATATGAGCTTTCCCCTTTGGCAGTTTATATTTTAAAATCTCATTATGTTTTGTTTTATTTGTAAAACAACAACACCCAATAGTAGAAGTTGACCCTGACTCCTGTGGTGATCCAGTAGGACTAGGATAGCTCTGCCCTTCTGTCTGTTCTCCCTTCCTTCTGCACCCATAGTGAGTCCTGCAGGTCCCAAATGCCATACCACTGCCCTGCTCCATTCCTGTGGCAGTAACCAGACTAGCAGCCAAATTCAGGATTCCGACATACACAGGTTAGGGGCTCAAGACAATACTCTATTGCCAATAAGACCACAAAACAGAACGGTGCTTAAAATATCCCCCATGAAAGGCTGAGTTATTTCTAAGTCACACTTGCCAGTAGTCTAGGAAAATGAGTGAGTGACTGGTGTGAGGGAGCCAAACAAACCAGATGGACAGCTCAGGAACAAGGGCCCCCAGAGCTTGTTGTCACTTAAAGGAAGCTCTGGGGACACGTGATTTATTTAGTTGGCCTCTGTGTGTGCTGATATGGCTTTTATGATGGGTTTTGCTGTGGGTGTGTTGAGTTAGCTGTGTAACTGCCTTTCGGACAATAGTTTCCATTCTCTATAAGTCACACCCATAACAAAGTTCCTTATATGTCTGTGATCTGAGAATTCATTAACAGCAGTAAGGTAGGGCTAACTGAGCCCCTTGATGTGATTGGCTGTCACATTGTTGTTCGGGTGACTTCCATAAGTCCACCTTCAACCATAGCCTTCTTTCCCTTTTTCCATACCGAATCAGTATCGCATCTACTTGAATATATAAGATATTTGTGGCTAAGACATACAAATCCTTCAGCCGTCAAAGCCCAAAAATGATATCTTTTCTGTTGTTGTTGTTGTTGTTGCCCCAAATGCAAATGGTACTATCGTGTAACCTGCTTCTGGGGTAGAAGTTTTAGGAACAAGGAAGATGAGTGATTTGGTTTCAGGATTCTGAGTTTCCAAGTTGATGCTTTTAAAAGTGTTTTCCATGTGAGTGAAAAAAAAAAAAAAAAAGTGTTAAGCCCCAGATGGCCTCTTGCCCTTACATCTGAGAGGTGAAACATTAGACCCTCCATTCGCTAGAGGCTGTCATGTGAGTGTTGAATTCATTAGGTTTTAAAAGCCCCTTGTCATTTTAGCTTTGGACAAACAGACACAGATAAAAGGAGGAAATCAAAACCCAAGTCTTCTGCCAAATTTTTCCTGATACAGACAAAAAAAAAAAAAAGAACCTAGGAAAGGAAAGGCTGCTGGGCCTCTGGCTTGCAGGGGTAGAATATCCAATACCTTTACTAGCTTAGGGTTTGGAAAGAGTATGGAGGCAGAAACTGGTTTGAACTAGTTTTCAGCCATTTCATCCCTGGAACTCCATCTCTTGGTATAACCTAAGGCCAGGATGACTGAACAGAGCAGTGCCACAGGGTTAGGAATCTGACCTGCCAGGGAGCTTGGGCACATCACCCTCTCTGTGTTCTGGCTGCAGTGGACCCCTCCTCAGGGGTATCCCAACTGTTTTTCTATCTCATAGACAGCCTCTTGAGGTGGTATCTCTGCCATGTTCCTATTCTCATAAGTGCCACAAGGCAGGTATCTATGTATAGTCACACAAGTATCTCCTGCACCAAACACCACAGTTCCTAGTGTTAAGAGGACAGTGTCAGTCTCCAGATATGCCCTTCAGGAATGACTCCAGCTACAGACATGGAGAAGGGGGTCTTGCCATGGGTGTGTGGAGCTTTAGATGAGAAGATACCAAAAAGGTGGTAGGGAGGGGTTGTTCCGAAGCTGGGTGGCTTCTGTGCCTCTACCCACCCAGTGGACACAGAAATGATTCTCTGCAGAACCCGGGGCGTCGCTGGCCCTGCTGTGATGAAAAAATGATGGTTCTAAAGAGATTTGCCCCTGTGGCCATTCTAACAAGAGGTGCTGAGGTACTGTCTGAAAATAGAGCCTTAGAGGAAGGAAGTGGCCAGGCCTGATAGCTGGTTTTAGCAAAAATATTGTCTGTCCAAGAATGTTGGTCATGCTGTGAAGGGCTCAGGAGGAGGGACATTTCAGAGCTTACCTAGCCTAGGGGTGCAGCTCAGTGAGAGTGCTTGTTTGACATATGCAGGGCCATGTGCAATCCTTAGAACCCTGAAAATAAATAAGTAAGCAAATAAGAAAAAAATAGTTAAGAGTTTCTATAGTTAGGCAAGACCACATTCTAGAATCCCTTGGCATGTTCTTTCAATAGAAAGCAGAACATGTGTCCCAAGCTTTTTGATCACATTCTCCATATCTACTCTATCACAGTGTTCAGACTGATTGCTGCCTCTGTGGGAAATACTGTGCTGTTGGCCTAACACCTTATACTCACCTCTGAAGAGTCACTGCTGTCACACCGGTCTGAGAAGGATATATTCAAATTGGAAACCCTGACACGCACCCACACAAACTATCCAGGGAAAAGACTCCACATACATTCTTTCTGATTAAAGCTTGGGTCTTCTATCTTGGATTGCTCCTGTTGCTCCCAAATTTTGCAATATACCATTTCAAAGAAAATTTAAGTCCACATATTGTACTGAGGATGTGCCTGAGGCCAGTTAGGAGTGGTTCCTATGGTTAGTGATGAGCCAGGCTTTATCCACTCTGAGCATGAACACTGACATGTTCTCTGTAGAGCATGCTACTCTGTCTGCCAACAATTCCCCTCCAGGGCTATAAATCCAGCTCTTATCTTCATCTGCAGCATCTTTATTCTGGAAAGCCCATACATCATGTTTTTAATGTGACTATGAAATGCGGGAGAGGGTTCACAATCCCATCCCCAAACATTCCCCCAATAAGGAAATTAGAATTTTAGGGGAAGTGTGAAATACAGCCAAAAGCTATTGCTTAAATTCTAACTAGTGATGGTAGGGGATTACAGGACATCCAGGCCACTGGATGGTTTCACATGCTTTTAAGTTTCTGTTTGCAGGATTTAAAGTGGGATAATTTTAAGTGTTTTTTTTTTCTCCTGATAGTCCATGGCTTTAATTTGGAGAGGTTCCATAGAATAGGGAATTCTCACTGTTGAAATTGGGACTGTCTCAGGTAAAGCACAGATTTTAGTTGCCCTGAATATAATGCTAAAATGTGATATGCTCTTTTGAGGATATAGAAAAAAGTATTTAAGCTTCACAAGAAGGTATTATTGGAGGTATTTGGTCATGAGTCTATTACTAATCCATTCATTTAGGCATATGAAGAGACATAGAGTTTATCCATTCAACACTATCAAGTTCCCAGTATGTGTTGGTCTTACATGTTAAAGCCACATGGAAGTGACTGGAACTTCTAAGAGAGCATGCATTCCAGTGGTGAGTGGGGGGGGGTATCAATCAATCAATGAATAGTAATCATTGGGTGACAATAAAGGCTATGGAGGAAAATAAGATGGGGCAAGGGAGATGGGGCAGTGGAGATACTCAAAGTCATCATTTCCGCGTTTGCGGGATCAGTTGCAGGGCTGGCAGTTGCCAAGCTCAACAGTTAGAGGAAAAGAAGGAAAATGGTTCATATCAGCAGTGCTCTGTCGCAGGAAGCAAAAACCACATTAGCTATTTTAAGCACAAAGGCATTGGCTAGAAAGAATCAGGCACTTGTGTGGACTGGCTGGGCAAGCCTCTGAAGGGTGGGCTCCACCTCCATCACCATTGTGGAGGTGGGATACTAGGAGGCATCACCTCTGTGGACACATTCTCATTAGAGAGGGCCTGTAGCAGCCAACTCGACTACCTCTTGATATAAACAATTTTCATAAGTGAACCCTGAGCTACTGCTTTACAACGTCCCAAGGCTCCATGCCAAGTATGGCTGGTTACAGCTGAATCAGGGAAATGGCACCGGCCTCACTACTGACTCCCCTTTCTT